CGGTTTTTCCCCTCGGGGCCGTCCCCCCCCCCCCATGGCATATTATCCTAGCCACACTCCCCTGTCAGCATTCACACACCCCAGCAAGAACAGGCCCAGTTCGTCACACAGCCATGCGGAGAAGCAGCCCCCCAGCGGGAGGAGCACCCCCGGGAGTCCAAGCGCCTTGTCGGGCAGAGCCCAGAGACGGTTCGAAGCCACGAGCCTGGGTGCGAGGTCCGGGCACGGCCCGTGTGGCAGGCCCAGAGCTGCTGGGCACGGAGAGAATGGGGCATTCATCTCCGCCAGGCCAGGAATGGTGTGGGTTCGCAGGGGAATTCGCACGGCCTGGGGAGAGTGGGCACAGAACAGCGACTGCAGCCAGCCCCCGAGACAATGCCAGCGCGCCTGCCGCAGTCATGCCACCCGCTGCGCCCAGCCGGGCTCAGCAGAGAGCTGGCCCCGTGCGCTGGGAGATGGGTGCGCGCCGGGGACAGGCCAGGCTCAACGCCAGGTAGGAGCCCAGGGCTGTGACCCGTCACCCATCCTGGAAGGCCTGAGCCAGCGTCTCGCTCCGACCTCGAGCCCTGAGCGAGGGCAGCTCTGATGCACCAAGGGCAGCCGGCGCGTTCAGTGCCCCCGTGCAACGTCCCTTCGCAGGCATCAGAGAGATGCACCCAGCCAAGCCCCACCGGACGGGCACCTGCTGCCATTCGCAGCCCCTGGGTCACGCGCCAGGCCCCTGCGGAGCCGTGGTCAGACTGGGCCATTGCTCCGGGAGTCTCACACCACTAGGGCGTGGCCCCGGGGCTCGGGCAGCGGGAGGACACCGTGGGATGTGAGCTCGTGGCTAGGGGAGGTGGCTGGCTGCTGGGCGCCCGCATGGGAGGACCAGGGACAGAGGCTCAGGCCTGGGACACAGGAGACACGGCCACTCATGCCACTCACCCGTGGGAAGTCGTGGCATCTGCTTGGCCTCAGTTTCCCCTCCTGTCACGTGGGGGAGAATGAACCTGCCTTGGTCTGGTCAGACCGGGAGCTCTGCAGGGCAGGGAAAGTCTCTGGGACCGAGTCTGTGCAGCGCCTGGCACAACGCCCCCCGCCCCCAGCTCCCCGCGGTGCCCGGCGCGACGCCCCCCAGCAGAGCCGGGTGCAGGGACACGGGGCGGGGAAGCCGCTCTTACCTTGGGGAGCCGCTTCCTGCTACCCTGCTCGGTGCCTTCCCCAGCCCAATTAGCACCTCGTTAGCCCCGGCCCGGCCCCGGCCAGCTGCGCTGCCGCCTTTAACCCTTCGCTCAGCCAGTGCCCGGGCCTGCACCCCCGGGGTGCTCGGCTCCCCGGGGAGCGACCCACCTTCTCCCAGGGGTCAGGAGAATGGGGCAGTGTCTGCAGCCCCCCGGCTAAGATCAGGGCCCCGTCGCGCCGGGCACCACCCAGACCCCGACCAAGATCAGGGGCCCGTCACGCTGGGTGCTGCAGAGACACAGACCGAGACCAGGGCCCTGTCGGGCCGGGCACTGCCCAGACCCCGACTGAGATCAGGGGCCCGTCACGCTGGGTGCTGCAGAGACACAGACCGAGATCGGGGGCCGTCACGCCGGGCGCTGCCCAGACCCCAGCCAAGATCAGGGCCCTGTCGGGCCGGGCACTGCCCAGACCCCGACTGAGATCAGGGGCCCGTCGGGCCGGGCACTGCCCAGACCCCGACTGAGATCAGGGGCCCGTCATGCTGGGCGCTGCCCAGACCCTGACCGAGACCAGGACCCCGTTGCGCCGGGCGCTGCCCAGACCCTGACTAAGATTGGGGGCCCGTCGCGCCGGGCGCTGCACACACTCACTGTAAGCTCTTTGGGAGCGGGACCAGGACCAGCTCTCACACAATAGAATTGGGATGGTTTATTTCCCCCTGTGAACGTACGTGGCAGAAGTTTGTAAACGCCCAATGGCTGCGGGTGCTGGGAGCTCCGGGCATCACCCCCAGGACAGGGGGGACTGAGGCCCAGCGAATGGAGGGGCTGACTTTCCAGAGACCAGCTCCCAGTGGGTGCTGAGTGCTGCCCACGCGGCCCCAAAGCGACTCATCCACAGTCACCCAGGGAGCTGGGAACAGACCCCCGTCTCCAGCGCCCCAGGCCTCCAGCTCTAGCACCCGCCCATCTCCAGCGCGAGTGCTGCTTCGGGGTCCAGGTGGGGGCGGGGGAGCGGTAACTGCAGGCGTGGCCCTGCTCAGCCGGGCTCCGGCTCCACCGCTCCGGGAAGTGGATGGGTGACAGTCATTTCTGGAGGGTTTGTCATTTCCTGCAGGGCTGCTGCTTCCTGGTCAGGGAAGGTGCCGCTTCGAGTGTGCATCGAACAGCCGGGCGCTGGACTCGGACCCTGGCTCAGTCACACGCTCTTGGTCGGGGTCTGGGTATCGCCCAGCCCAACAGGGCCCTGATCTCGGCTGGGGTCTGGGTATCGCCCGGCCCAACAGGGCCCTGATCTCGGCTGGGGTCTGGGTATCGCCCAGCCCAACGGGGCCCTGATCTCGGCCGGGGTCTGGGTATCGCCCAGCCCAACAGGGCCCTGATCTCGGCTGGGGTCTGGGTATCGCCCAGCCCAACGGGGCCCTGATCTCGGCCGGGGTCTGGGCAGCGCCCGGCGCGACGGGGCCCTGATCTCGGCTGGGGTCTGGGCAGCGCCCGGCACAACGGGGCCCTGATCTCAGCCGGGGTCTGGGTATCGCCCGG